TTTAACTTTATACAATCAACACACTTTTTCTTTTTGAGAACTCATAGACAGATTTGAACATTGAGACACATTTGAATCAGAGGAATCTCTATCACTGTTTGATTTCTCACTCTCCCGCCATCATCTTTCTAGACTTGTTTAAAAGCCTTGCCACAGCTTTTTGAAAACAGATTTTGCTTCCTTTTCAAATTCAACATCATTATCTTCTACATCCAGTTTATCAGCATCTGCCACACAAATGTTTTGAAAATTTTCAGCCTGCTCATCGGACTTAGAGAGTGGGCCAGTTTTACTAGGCTTAGTAATAATCTGTTGAATCAGGTTTATTCTCAGAAAGCCTCAACTACAATCGGCCCGTCCTCCTTTGATCACGGATGTACCGGTAATGTCCGTGTCCATGATCAGATGTTGCAATGATGTTACAATGTGTAGTCAAAGCCATCAATTTTAAACTTAAAAACCAGTTGAAAACCGGATCTCAGGGGTGCGTTTACCAAAAGCATCGTTAGCCAACTATGGTCTCAAGTTTCATCGTAATTAGCTCACTGAGTCTGTGTTTCCCGAAAACGTAGTTCTAACAAACATTCGCAAACAGCATCGCAAAGTTGTGTGGTTGGATCGACAGGTTAACCTGTTTAGTTTCCTTATCTTGAGCCAAATAAATCAGTACATTCAGTACAATGCATATCTTTTCTTTAGAAAACATACAAATGTAATTTACTTCTTGTAGTTTGTCAAGAGATTTAAAGCCTAGTTTTTGAAGCGCGCATTTGCGTATGTGCTCTGGTACGCAAGAACGACCCTATGATTGAATAAAGAAATAAAGCAAAATAGAAAAAAAAATAAAAAATAGAAATATAGTCCTCAGATGCCATCTCTGTAATTTAGAAAAACATCTAGCATTAATTAGATCTCAAAAAGATTCATTAAAATAAGTTATTACTCCACCACTGCGTGACATCATTAATCAACCTGGTTAAATAACCAATTTGCGACAGTAAGGTTTTGGAAAACAGTCGTGACTAGCTAGTTGATTTCTTCAATGATGCATCGGTCTATGGTAGTGAACGGGAAGTGCACCCCAGATTGATTTCATCAACTCCATGAAAACATGTCTTAATGAACATGCTTCACCAATGGTGACTTGCAAACAAGAGGGATTTTCTTGATAAGGGAAACCAATTTTCCATAACAAGATACCTCTTGCGCAAGGACTATATAATTATGTTCGAGAGTATAACCCTTTAGAAGGGTTACTTAAATGTAAAACCAGTACAAGTGAGCCATTCAACATGACGCCGCATCGCACAGCATTGCCTTTTCAACCGAATTCAAAACAAGAAAAAAAGCCACAATCCCACAATCTCACCCACCAGAACTGCTCCACACTACTTCATCTTTACTCCATGGCGGTATGTTGTTATCAAAATCATTGTGCTTTGAATGAATGAAATATACTTTATCGTCCCCAAGGGAAAATTTGTGTTGGACTCAAGGGGTTTACATTGACAGAATCATTGGAAGCTTAACAGAAAACAAAAATTCTACTCACAAATATAAAGAAATAAATACTCATTCGTCATTTCACAATTTGATTGAAAAAGGAATAAAATACTTCTTAAAACGGTTATACCTACACATCGGAAATCCGTATCGTCTTCCAGAAGGTAATAATTCATCAGCCACAATTTTATGTGCTTCTCTCAGAACCGATTGTACATACAATGACTCAAGAGACAAGTTTTTGATTATCATGCCTCCCAGCACAATGCTGGTTGCAGACTTGAACACCTTTAAATGCAAATAAAATGAAAAATTAAACACAAGAACAAACACACACAAAAAAAGATAGATACGTTTTAGCACTCAGCCACAAACGCACTCACTCTCACCACAGTGACCACGCTCCGTTCACTCCCAGCATGCACTCTGACAGAGAGAGACCTGTAGAGAGAGAGAAATGCTGCTCAGTCTTTTAACTGAGGCTTCCATTCTTTGTTCTAAAGTCCAGCCCTAAGTGGCTTTTGACCCAGTTTTGAGAAGGTGCTTCTTCGAGTGTGCACCGAAAGCTTGACAATTCATCTGATATGAATAAGGAAAGAGACTACAGCCAGATTGAGAGTTATGCTGCATCTCTCTCTCTCTCTCTCGCTCACTCTCTCTCTCTAACTTACTGTATAACAGTTCTTTTTACAAACAATGTTTCTTTTTTCGCTCAGTGTGAAATTATGGCATTGTTATCACCACTGTCTGACAGCACCCTTTCTGCCTTTTAGTTCACTAAAGATACTAGTTTATTGTGTTACGGTATAAATTCCTCTTCTCCTCTTCCAATATGGAAAGATTGTATGTAAGAACATGTTTAATTCTGCAGTTAGGATTTGCATTGAATAATCAAATGACTTTTATCATACTGACGGTTTCATTTTTCTCCTCCCTCTGCATAGACTAATATTTCATTTTCTCTGATTGCTCCCCATAATTCCCTGAATGTCTTAAGCCCTGTTTGGAGAACTAGTTGTCCCTGGGGAGGTTAGGTAAATTTGTGTTTCACAGAGGTACTTGACATGATTTTAATCCCATCCAACCGAACATGTCTGTTTATCCTTGCATAACCTTATTAAAAATGTAGGATGCAAAATTAGCAGGATTCTAATCCCATCAGGAAAATAATGTCCGTGAACACAGTATTTTATTTTTCTACAAAGCTTCTTCTCATTTATTCAGCCCAGGCTCATTAGAAAAATGTACCTGTGGCAATATTTTTGCCAAATGCAAAATACATGGCGATTTGCGTTTCACAACAGTTTCAAAGTGAATGGCGTTAAAAGTGTTTCGTTTTTTTTGGAAGAACAGATGAACGTGAATATGGCAATGTTTTATTACATTGGACAACGTATGTTTGTACATTGCAGTTCTGAATTGAAGTTTCCGGTGGGTGGTGCTAAAATGCTCCATTTTAAAATAACGTACACCTACACGAATCCCTAAACCTACCTGATAATGTTAACAAAAGCAATGTGAAATAAAAATACAAACGTAACCATGCCATTTTTTCTTGTTTTTGAACTCTTGTCTTTGAGCTCTTTTACCGTGACTCGTCTTTCACAGGATTCGTACTCGAGTTTTCGGATTCACAATTGGGCCCTACAATTATGTACCAGGCAGCTGAGCTACCGAGCAAGCTTAGTATGTATTTAAAACCTAATTGGGCAAGGAGCCACGTGAAGTGTTTATTAATTCATAAACTGCCCCTGTAAAATTATGTGTAAAAACAATTAAAAGTGCTTCCTGTTTTTACTGTCTCTTGTGTTCGTTTCCGTTGAAAACTGAAGATATGTACGTATTGGTACGTATTTTGTGTTTTGCAAAAATTTTGCCACATTTTGACCATTTTTGAAAGCGATAAAGTCACATTTCCTGGTGAATCTTCATTATGGGTTTAGTTTGTCAAGTTTCATAGAGAAATAACTGGTAGTTCAAGTATCGCTGGCATCTCATCCAATATACAAATATAAATGAAATAAGTTTGATCATGGACTGCTCAGAATGACCCCTAAAGTGTCTAATTACAGTTTTTCTCTCGATTTGACACATTTCTTCAAATGAATGTAGTTGCTCTCAAAACAATTAGCACAGCAAACTAAACACACTCTTATGTTGGGAAAACATTTCTGTATCACTGCACTGCAGTTCTTATTTTAGTAATTCATTCATCAAAAGTAAATAGCAACATCAAAACTATAAGTGTTTTCTGATTGGATAATAATTTCAGCTGTAGATACAAAAATACAGGAATGAAAATACATGTTTTACGTGTTCTTTAATGAAGAGTTTAGTTGTGTACCAATGAGTTTCCCGCCAAAATAAGTAAATAAATGTATACTGCAATCATTGAATCAATGAACTTTAAAGATCTTGTCCCCCATTTACATTTGGTCAAATAATTTCATGTATTTTGCTTGCATCATGTGATTTGCATAAAATGAAAGAAACTGTGCAACCTTTTTTTGGACAATTACAAAGTGTTCAGGTTACTGTGTTAACAGTTTTGAGCACAGTGACCTCAGTTTGGAGAAGTGTGTCTAATTGATTGAAGAAAAACTGTAATTCATTGCATTTATATATGCATTATATTGATTTTATTTATTTTTTTCCTAAATGACTTTCCATAATGCCCACGTCTTTCTTGACACTTCTAAAAAAATCAGTCCTATTTAAAAAAAGTATATGATAAAAATTATTATTGTAAATCAATAATGATAAAAATCATCTCTTAATAATTGTAACTCAATAACATTTAGGCTAACCACATCCTAGCCTATATGTTGATATGTTGGATTATGGGGTCTGGCGCATAATTGGTGCTCATTCTTCCCAGGTGTTCAATAAAGGTTCAGGTTTGGGCTTTGTTCGGGCCAGTCAAGAAAATTCACTCTCAGTAAATCACTTCTGTATGTACCCTCACAGGGTATTTGCCATGTTGGTACAGAAAAGGACCTTCCCCAAACTGTTGTAACACAATTTTCTAGAATGTCATTTTATGTTTGCAGTGTAAAGTGATAAATGCATAAACCTGAAATTTACACATAAGAACATGGAAGGTTTAGATACAATATCCAAAGAAATCTAGGCCCAAATAACCCAACAGACATAAAACTCTAAGCTCAAGTTTCTGAACTATAATGCAAATGAAATGTATCAATGTTGATGTGTTGTAGATGTACTTTATCTCCATAGTACAGCAATAAGATTTCCATGAATGGAAAACAATTAACACTGGCTATATCTGTCTCAGTTAGACATTCATTCATAGCTTGTATCTCTCTAAATCCAGCTTTTTAAATTTTTTTTATACATTTTAATGCAATAAATCTAAATGCTTTTTTTTTTTTTTAAAGCCTCACTGTTTTCTTTCCCTTTGTAAAATATGTAGTTTTCAGCCCATAACCAAATGTGAAAAACAGTTAAATACATTTCCTTCTGCTTACACCTCTCAGGATTCTGTGGAATTGGAGGAGAGTTGTTCCCCCTGCCCAGCAAACTCACAGCAGCCTGGAACTCGACACAGTTTCGTTCAGGAACACTTCCAAGCTCAGTACAGGTCAGACACCCCTTAGTCTTTAATTTAAAAACAAGTCCGCCCTTCATCCGTCTACCTGAGCTTTGTATTCTACTGGGACTCTTGTGTGGTATTAGCCATCCTTGACTGTGCACTGTATTATTTTATGTTAGTATACTGTAGTAGCACTAGCATGTAACAACCTGCATTCAAAAATCATTATTTTACAAATATTGTTAACTCTAACATGATAAACCTGTAAAGTTACTTCTCATATTACTGCTGTTTAGAACAAGGTTAAAAGAACATAAATACCTAAAAAAAAATATGTTAAATAGGATGTTTGAAACTACATCTTACAATCTATGGGTGTGTCTCAATCAGCTCCCCTAAATCAGGGAGAAACATCGATGGCTGATAAATTAAAAAGTCACTTGAGCCAACTCACTTTGATCCAAAAGATCCACTAATTGCATTTCAGCACAAAAACATACATCACTAGACAGGTAGTGAACTAACATTTATAATTTATTTATATAACAAGTAAAAAGGATGTTGTCATGTTGCCTGAAATAGTGTCCAAATGTGTAATGACCCAACTGTCCTTTACCAGTGGCCAAATTCTGTACACAAAATTCCCTACCTAGGAAGCGAGGGAGCTGATTGAGACACACCCTGTGTCTTCAAATCCTAACTAATCACAATTCCCCCAAAAATAGTGTTTAAAACATAAGTTTTAGTGGAAAAGTATTGATGATTTTTCCCTCGCACCAATAGTTTTGATTAAATGTGTCAGTGCAATCAAACTTAAAATCAGATTCACAAAAACTTGGTCAGAACTCCACGCAGATCCTGTTTTACTCTCTTTTGGAAACAAATGACATCTAGACAAAAAACCCGTGAACATGTAACAATGACTTCAATTAGCAAAATGTTATTGGATCAGTGTCGGAGATAAACGCCTCAATACAGCGTGATCTCTCGATTATGTGATATGTCATTGTTAGCTGAGCAGGCTGCTAGTGAGAGAGATCGAGATAAAATTTGCAAGATGATGTTTACCTGTACCAAAATCAGATCTGATAACGGCTAGGTTTTTGTACCCATCCCTACATGTGGGCTCATGGTCTTTTTCTCTTATTTATTTACTTCAAATTTTAGTGTTTTGAGTATTTGAGGTTACAGACAGATCAGTGGCATCCCTTCAACTTGATCAACACAGCTCATGCAAACTATTTAACCCCTTAACGTCTGAATTTATATAGCTGTATATAAAAAAATGTTTTATGTGTGTTTTTGCCTTTAAGTAGATGGTAAATAATGTTGAGATTATCAATTTCACTTTTGCACAACAACTAAATAGAAATGTTGGTATGTTGCAAATCTGCAACAGCGGGCATAATGGTCAATTTGGTATGTTGCAAATGTTGCAAATGTTCCTGACCGGAGAAATCCTTGTGCGTAAACAGGAAATAAGTCCGTCACTTTGAAACAAGTGCTTGTCCTAGGTCCGTAGTGAATATGCACAAACCGGCATTGGGGGAATGCAGACGTTATCTCGGCTGGTTGACTGAGTCAAATGGTTTGTTGCATATTTGCGACAGTGGGCGTTAAGGGGTTAATTGCAGTTTAATTAATTGCATTAGATCACACAATTTTCTATTTTAAGTTGAGTCAAGTCACTCTTGTATCACGTTTTACAATCCAGATTGGTTCAAAGCAGCTTTACAGTGATAACAGGAAAACAATGCAACAAATACAAATAATGCAGTTTGTTTTGGATGCACAGTAGCTCTAGAAGAAAATAGTGTCATTGTCCAGCTTAAGTAAAAATCATTAGTTAGTAATTAGTAATATTTTTACCCTATAATTCTCGTAGATTCTTGAAATGTTCTTGTTCATGGTTTATTCAGACATCCATCAATGAAGAAAATGACTGGTTATCATCTGTGCCGCAATTTGGCTGAGATTTTGTCTCCCTTCAGAAATGTGATCATCCGGCACACGTCGTGTGAGCTCTCTAGAAAACAGCAGGCTTCATGCTATTCACTGTCTCTCTCAAGCTGCAGGGCTATTGAAACATCTGCGCCGGAACTTTCCGCAGAGTGAAAATGATCAAGTAATCCACAATGAAATCACACACTCTGCTATAGAGAATATACATAAGCATTATTTTCACCTATTTCCGGTGTGACAAAGACCTTCTCGCCAACGGCATTTCTGCTTCTGCAGATGTGAGCAATAAGCAAATGCTGAATATTAAGTTTTCAAGTGAGCAAAAGTTTTTTGAGTAGGTTTAATTGTTTACTTTTTTCTTCGCTAAACATTCTAAAGCATCAAAGCTCTTTATAAATATCCCAATTTTTCCCAGCTTCATGCCCACTCACATTTATACTACCAGAGCTCCTCCGCAAGTAGAGAGTCAGGTAGAGATGGACTCAGCAATTTTCTTCAATCTCGAGAAAAGCTTCCGCGTCTCAGTGACTTCTTAATTTCACGGATTAATTTTGTAATTCCATTTACTATGTTGGTTGCTATAACTTTAAAAATGACTACATTTCGGATTGCACCCTGCTTGTTTATTCATATCTTCACCACACACACACAAACACTGTGCAGCTTTTGTTTAATTAAGTCAATCTGTCTGTCAATTTGACATTGCCTATAGTGATTTATCTCTGATAAGATATGAAATGTAGGGAAGCAAAACATCTCATTAAAGTCTGGATTCTGTGTTTATCTGCAGCTACAAACATTTCTTGTGACTTGGATTATAAAGATGGCTTAACAGTGCAGAAGTTTTGACTACTGTAGTTGTAATAATATTTTATTACCATGTTAGAGCTGTGGTAGTGCATGGCAGTGTGTTCAATATTTACAACATTTTGTAATGATTTTGCTGGTATTTCACAGTTAAGCAGTATCATGAATATTGGTATGATTTTAATGTTTCACCAAGTTTCATAAAGACTGCATCATTAGATGATTTGTAGATCATTCCTTTGAAAGAGTTTGAAACATTTGCATGAATCAGTTCCAACTGTCCATTTTCAGTAAATCGATTTTCTGAAATTCAGCAAGTAAATTCAAAATTGTGGAAGTTCACATGATCACTCCAATTTTTACTGTCTCATGGGGCAGTTTAAAATGTTTTAGTAAAATGTACATTTTTAAGGTAAATACAATTACTGGTATAAAAATATAAAATAATTATATATAAATATAATAATGGAATTGCGAATATGATCATATAAATAAAATGGTACCAATACGGTTTTATAAAACGGTATTATGGCATTCTTCATTTATTGGTAAACAACATTTTGAAACTACTTGACTGTTTGGTTAATATGATTGAAAAAACAAAACACTTGTTTAAGAACTGATGGAGTATGGAAGATTGGAGCCATGTTCTGCAGTCTGGCAAGTCAAAATTTAACAACCTAGCATTAAATGGTCTCAAATATTTTCGTAGGAAACTACTGGAGTATTTTAACTCTTTCTTTGCCAACATTTTTTAAAAATAAGTTTCCAGCCAGCGGCATCATTTTTGATCATTTTTACAAAACGTCCATGGGCCTCAGAATATTGTGTTGTATGAATATCTGAACATGCATCAAAAGAACAAACAGAGCAGCCTCTTTAAAAATAAATGAATAAATAAATAGTCTAGCTTCATGCATTCATTTCATCAACACTTGAATATGGGCAAGTTTTGTAATTTTTTTTAAAGGGGTGGTTGATTATGATGTCACTTTTCTAACTTTAGTGTGAAAAGTTAGAAAAGTGACGCTTAAACGCTTAAAGTTCAAAGGCAAAGCAGCTTGCTACTTGAAATTTGCTTTTAAAGAAATCATTTTTAAGCACTACAACAAATGCCTGGTAGGAACTACATGAGCTTCCTCTGGGGTTAGTGACATCAAAATGTACAAAACCCCGCCCCTGCGAACACAGATTACCTGTTGCATTCTATTGAAGTAATTTTTTTCATATTAAACTATGTTATTCCCTTAAATAAGACAAGTTGATGCATACCTCTCTTGTCTCAGTGCGTGCACTCAATCGCTCTGGCGTGCGAGACCCTTTGATAGCACTTAATTAATAGGGACCAAGCAGAGAAGCGACCAAACACCTCCACGTTTTGCCTTTTTAAACACAGTTACACGAGTAGTGTAACTCGACTTAGGATGGTGACACAAAATAAAAAGTTGAGCTTTTCTAAGCGTGTAAAGTGTTTAACTATATTGTATGGCGGAATACTACAGCAAGTGCTTGGGAGCACTTTGACTTGGTGTATAGACCATTTCACAAGATGTAAAAAACACTGGTCCAGAAGCACTTCCTGTTTCAGTTTAACACTACATAAAAGCTGGGATAAAATACAACCAACAGAACATTTAAAACTGAATCAAAAAGTTAAACAAACATCTTTAAGATGTTTTCTTTACATGTGAAATAAAGAAAAGAGTTACAAACTGAAACAGGAAGTGTTTCTGGACCGGTGTTGTTTACATCTTGTGAAATGATCTATAAATATCTATGGACTCTGCGCAGTAATATCATCACTCTGGAGAGTGAGAGAGGGAGAGGACTTTTCACGAGTGATGATATTACTGCGCCGAGTCGAAGTGCTCCCAAGCACTTACTGTGGTATTCCACCATACATTATAGTTATCCATTTTACACGCTTAGAAAAGTGCAACATTTTATTGTCACTGTCCTAGGTCGAGTTACACTGCTCGAGTAACTGTATTTAAATAGGGAAAACGTGGAGGTGTTTAGTCGCTTCTCTGCTTGGCCCATATTGAATGAACTGGGCTAGTTAAAGGTGCAATGTGTAACAAAGTTGAGTATCTATTAACAGAAATGCAATATGACATCCATAACTATGTTTTCAGTGGTGTATAAAGAACTTACTTAATTAACCGTAATGTTTTTATTACCTTAGAATGAGACATTAATAGCTCCATAACCGAGGGAATCCCCTTCTATGAAGGTCGCCATGTTGTGACGTCATATTCCTACCGTAGCCGAACGCGAAC